CTGAATTCTTGCAGCTCCTCATTGAGGCTCCCCAAGAGGATTAGGGCAACTCTGACAAAGGTAAGGAAAGAGGGGCTAGGGTTCTGAAAGGAGTAGGTCATATTTATGACTAGTGTTGAGTCTGAGACAGACATATATTCCTGAGTCTTTCAACCATGCAGCCAATGGTGACTACTTTCCTCTTAACCACTTTCTTTGGTAAGCTACCACTATCATCTCCGTGAAAGGAATTTACCAGAGATGGTACTACTTGTGTCACATCCTCTATCTATCTCTACTCAAGTTGATGACAGGTATTAAACCTAAGGGACCTCTGGAAAGGGATGACAGCACCTACCTAACTGTAAGCGGGTTCTGTGGGAGGGAGGCGGGCAGGCACTATACGAAAAGTCATCAAGGGAACAATCAGGAGTGGAGGATGGAAGGTTAACTACCAGCAAGTGGCAGCAGCATGGAAAAAAAGACAGGAAGCTGCTTCTAGTCATTGTTTCTACCTCAGAATCATGAGCATGGTGAGAAACAGATTAGTTTGCTTATCTTCTGCTTTGAAATTTATGGATTCCCTCCCTTCTGAGAGAAGAAACCACTATTATCATCATGCCAATAATAATTGAACATGTGGGTATGTGGTCCCAAACAGCACATTACTGGCAAAGGGCAACTCAGATCACCGTTTAAAATGGGATAGCGTGTTCAGGTTCTGCATCACGCACAGTAGAAGTGCTGTGTACAAACTGATGAGTGGGGTGAAAAAGCAGCTCGTGGGAGAATTAAGGAGAACTGGTTCCCAGTGTCTCCTTGGACTTGCAGTTCCGGGCTGATGAAAATTGAGAGAGAATACCAACCTAGAAGCCATTTATTTGAGTCCATCATCGATAAAGAGCAAATAAAAACCCTCAGGGATGCATTAAAAGCACAGACTTCTCAGGAGAACTCTCTTGGCCAGTTGGCTTGCAAAGACAGTTCTCTGGCCACCCCTCAGTCCCCTCTCTGGGCTAATGTTAATGTCACGTTGGGGTTAGCCTTGTCAGGGGGACTTGCTCTGCTACCTCTCTCTCAGCCAGCACGGGCAACACAGCAGAGTAAGTAGAGAAGTGACAGCACAGGACCCAGGGACCAGGGAGAGGATTGCCTCAGCATCCTGGATGTGCGCTGGGTGTTTGCTGTTACAGCCACAACATACTTTCTTTTCTGTGCCTCCAGGAAGCCCGACTGCAGTGAGACTGTGTTCTCAAGGAGCTCCAGCACAGTGTCTGCTTTGGACTAATCTAAATAAATGTGTGGATCCTCAGTGCCTCAGTGTCCATCCGTTTGAGCCACTGTCTATGGGAAAAACATAAGAAAAACATTTAGAACATTGGAATCCTTTAACCAGACTGTATAGAATCTGCAGACCCTCACACTCCTCTTTCTCCCCATACCCACATTCTCTTCCGCAGAGGTTTCTAACACCGTCCTTTTGTCTAGAGTCTATGCCAGAGCTGAATTCAACTCTATCCAGTGCCTGGTGCTAAAAGAGATGCTGAACGTGACTTGTACTCTTCCTCTCTGCACTTTCCAGTATAAGTTGGAAAACAGGACGCATGTCCATCACAGAGACACAGACAGCAGAACACATAAACACGTACATAGCTAATTAAAGACAGGGCACTGAGACTTGAAGGCTGGGAGATACTAAAGAAAGTAGAGCAGTTTCATTAAGTCCTGGGGAAAGAGTAAAGGTGAGGTACCCTTTCCTACATGTTTGTTTTCATTCTTATAATGAGTAAAATATTAAAGGCATTCTATGATGGAGTCTGCAAAAGATAGCAATTCCTCCCATCCTGGCTAGGATGGGCATAGTGCTCTTCCCACCAAGAGCTGGAGTCTATTTCTCCTCCCCTTGAACCTGGGCTGACCATGTGACCTCCTTTAACCAAAAGAATATAGCGGAAGTGATGTTGTGACGGTCTGGGCCTAGACCTCAGGAAGTCTAGTAGGTTCTGCTTTTGCTTCTGGAGGTCAGCTCCCATGTAAAGAATCTCAGGACAGATTACTGAATTATGAGAGGCCACATGCAGGACAACCAAGCATCCCAGCCGACAGTCCACACCACAGCCCCTAGGCATGTGTAGCCACCTGAGACCCTTCAGCCCTAGTCAAGCCCAACCTACTCCCAGTGGAGCAGAGACAGATGGTCCTTACACAAGCCTGCCCAAATTGTAAAATCATGAGGTGAATGGTTGCTGTTGTTTCAAGCCATAAAATATTGGGCTGGTTTGTTACACAGTAATATGTAACTAGAACAGCCTTCTCTGCATCAGATACTGGATGTCAGGCTTTATCTCTTTTAATCCTCATTTTTCACATGAGGCACTTGAAGTTTATAAATTGCTCCAAGTCATGCAGCTGGTAGTAGAATTTGAACCAGGTCTGCCTGACTTCAAGCCTTTCCTCTTTCCTCTCCCCTCTTTCACCCAGTGACCCTCACTGTAGTGGGTCTGGGTTGGGATCATGGGTTTAAGAAAGAAAAGATTCCTAGGAGATAGTAAATCTTAGACAAGGCTTTGAGGAGGGAGGGGGACTCTTTTGCCTGAGAAGAGTGAGAAGGGCTTTTCTGTTCAAAGCAAAGGTCTATTTTCAATTGAGGCAAAGTGTCTGTTCCAGCTTTTCTCAACAGGAGCACTATAAGAATGAAGTCCTGGTGCCCCAAAGGCATCCATCATATGTCATAAATTAACTTCTTCTATGCATTCAGAACATTACTAATTATGTAGCATCTTGGGAAAGCTGAGAAAGTAACCACACAAATTATCTGTAGGGTCTAATGCCCTTGGTGAGAATGCTGGGGTGGGGAGAGAAGGGGCCCAGAGTCCAGAGCCAGCTAGTCATGTACGCAATGGCCAAGAAGCTCCCCGCCTCCCTCCAGCTAGGGCAGGGCCTAGGTCAGGAAGGAGTAGAATACTCCCAGCTATGATCCCCTAAGAATCAGTTAGACCTCTGGCCTCTGCCCACAGCCCCATTCCTCAGCTGTCTGTTGAGTACTCAAGGACCATCCCTTACAGTTCATCTATTCTGAACCTTCATGATAAAGGAATAAAATCTTCACACTGAACAAGACTTCCAGTCACAGTTAATCTTTCCACATTCAAGAAGGACTGTCCTGGAATCCTTAATTTTATCATTTATGCATTCAACACTATGGAGTTCCCTCTGAACTAAGGTCTACCACCTGCCTGGGAGGATGCAATCTCTTTGTTAATTCATTTAACATTTATCCAAAATCTTAAACATCTGTTCATATATCTCATTTTGGGGTTGAGCTAACGTGGACAATTCTCAGAGTAATGGCCTTATGCTGAGTAAGAACTCTCATGCCTGAAATCTGTATTTTCTGATTTTATTGTTATTTTGACGGTGGAGAAAGTTCAGTTGCTTTTTCTTTCTGGTACTGCAACGGCTTTCAAAATCATAATTTGGTGACAGGAATTTTTTTTTTTTTTTTAAGATTTTATTTATTTGAGAGAGAGAGCATGAGTGAAGGGAGAGAAAGAGGGAGAAGCAGACTCCAGGCTGGGCAGGAAACCCAATAGGGGGCTCCACACCAGGACCCTGAAATCACTACCTGAGCCAAACGGAGGGAGCCCCCCAGGCACCCCTGGTGACAGGAAATTGAGGACGAGTTTCCTTAGAAGAAACAAACAGCCAATTTGCTAATTAATGAGCAGCTTCTCTCCTTACACTCTGCTTCACCACCACCTGCCTGGAGAGAGGGAGTCACCCGGCTCCAGCCCTCCCACCTCCCCAGAACCCAAATGCTACAAGCTACGGCAATTCCGCCTTCACCAGCAAGCCTATAGAAACCCAGGCAACCCTCTTCTCTCAGCTCTGCTGCCCACAAGCCTGCAAGTCCAGGGCCTCCCCACCCAGCCCCGCAGCCCCCCACTGAATCCCAAGGTCTCTTTGCTGCCTGTGGCATTTACTTCAGGGACCAGCTCACGCCTACAAACCTCACCACCTCAACCTCATGGCTAAAAACTAGGAAGGAAACCCCCCAAAAGGCCTGTAAATAGCCCAGATAATGGTCATAAACTCAGGAGACCAAAGCTCTCCAGCCATTCTTCTCGATTTTTAAAACGTTTCTAAGAAGCCCTGGTAACTGGTGGCCCAGGCTAGTCACAGGCAACCGCTGGGAAACAACAAAGAGGGACTCTCTAATGAGTAGGCTTAAGCATTTTACAAACACAGCTTTTAGTTTGAAAGCGTTTACAGGCACGTTCAAAAGCCCCTGTGGCACGCGGCCGAAAACTCGAGGGACCATAACTGATGGTCAGGATCCTCACTCCGCGGGGAAGAGAGGGGCTGCGTATGCTCAAGCCTGCCTGCCTGTGACGGAGGGGTCTCGGGTGAACTGGACCCACACCTCCCTGCCAGAAAAGCCTGTTTTGTTTTGTTTTGTTTAAATTACACCTCCGCTACCTCACGTTCCGAAAGTTCTCGCTTAAAAAGACGATGGGAGATGTACTTCTTATGGATCCTCAATATACCTAAGATATAAAGGTCTGGGTGCTCCCGCAACTTGAAAAAATCACAATTGAGGAAATCTGGCAAATGTGGTGCTTGCAAACCAAGTAATCCTCCGGAACCGAATTCCCTCAAGCGCGGCGTTAGTTCCAGGTCGGCCTGGTGAGCCCTGGCTCCGCCCAGCTGGGGGAGGGGGGGCGGAAAGGAGGCGGGGCTAGCCGGGCGCGAAACCTACATTCATTGGCCAGGTCCCTCGCCCCGCGCCACAAGGCCCCGCCTGCTCCGTAGGGAGGTCTCCCGGGCACGCGCGCGCGCTCGCAGACTCCCCGCTTCAGCCCTCCGGATGGAGTCTTTCTTAGAGCCGCTCTCCGCACGGCCCCCACTGACAGACTTCCGGCCGGCTGCCTGTCGCTGCCCCGCCCCCAAGGGGGGCGGGAAACGCTGGGATCCGCCAATCACTGGGCGTGTGTAGTAGAAGTGGGTGGAGCCTAAGAGATTCGAAAGGAGCCCCACCCCTTCGGGGGTGATTCCAGGGACTAAGTAGTGGGAGGCAAGCACCTTCGGCGACAGGTGAGGCGGGGCGGAAAGTAAAAACCGAGGGTGGGCTGGAGGTGTGGTGTGGGTGTGGTGCCGTGGGAATGGAAAGGTGATTTGGGGAGAGAAAGAACCGGAGGATGGTGGCGGGGAAGAAGATAGGGGGTGCACACTGTCCTCGGTGAGGAGAGAGCTGGTTGTAGGGGGGCAGCCGGGCAACCTGGGGAAGGGGGATGGTGCGCTCTCCGCACCTTCTCTGGAGGTAACAGGGCTGTTAAAAGGGCAGGTGCTACTCCTGGGATTCTTGCTTTACCTCCAGCGTGTTCCCCCACCCCTGGCTTGCACCCTGAGTCTAGCTGGGAGCCTTGGGCAGTGTGGAGACCTGAAGAAAGGAATATTTTCTCTCCAGCTCAGGTCTCATCTGACTCGTGCTCCTGCTGGCTGGAACATGGAAGATTTGGAGGAAGGTAAGGAAAGTAAAGAGGAAAGAATGAGGGCGCTGCGATTGAGATCCCTGTTGGCAACCTGAGGCTGGCATTCATTCCCTCCTCCCCTACAGATGTGAAGTTTATAGTGGATGAGACCTTGGACTTTGGAGGGCTGTCACCATCTGACAGGTACCATCCTCTTTGACTTTCTTGCTTTCCTCCAACAATGCCTCTTTGTCTCTAACCCCTTACTGCTGAATTATTGGTCTGTGGGGTCTGGGTAATGTAGCAAGGTTGGGTGCCCTGCAGCTGCTGGGGGCATTGTTGACATGAGCCTCAATGACTCTATTGGGGGAAGGGAAAAGGGATAAGCTAGAATGAGATTTCAGGATATTAAGAAGGGTAAATGGATTTGCTGCATCTTCATCCTGGCATCATTTCCAATGTCAGTAAGGATTAAAGGCCTATTAGGCCTCATAGGACCAGGCATCTCATCACTTAGAGGCCAGATCTCACAGCAAGCATAGGCATTGGGGTTTGGGGTTGTATCCCTGGCTCTGTTGAGGGGGGTGCCCAGTCTCCTTTGCACAGTCTCTTGCTCTCTTCTTTGTGGGCATGGTGCCTGGTTTGTTTTCTGTCTCAGTCGTGAGGAGGAAGACATAGCAGTGTCAGTGACTCCAGAGAAACCCCTCCGAAGAGGACTTTCCAATCGAAGTGACCCAAATGCAGTGGCCCCAGCCCCCCAGGGGGTGAGGCTCAGCTTAGGCCCACTTAGTCCAGAGAAGCTAGAGGAGATTCTCCATGAGGCCAACCGACTGGCAGCCCAGCTGGAGCAGTGTGCCCTGCAGGAGCAGGAGAGCACAGGTGAGGTCCTGGGGCCTCGAAAGGTGAAGCCCAGCCCTAGGCGGGAGACCTTTGTGCTGAAGGACAGTCCCGTCCGAGACCTGCTGCCCACTGTGAGTTCTTTGACTCGGAGTACCCCCTCTCCAAGCAGCCTGACACCCCGACTCCGGAGCAGCGATAAGAAGGGGTCAGTCAGGGCTCTTCGGGCAGCATCTGGAAAGAGGCCCTCCAGTGTGAAGAGGGTAAGTTTGAAGGGTCTGGGTTGGATGTGTCCCTTCAGGCACAATGTATGACTTGGTATAGCCCTAGAGTGGTTTCCTTTTTTGTAAAATGGGGTTAGTAAGATTCTACCTCAGAATTATTGGAAGTAAGCAAAATACCGTAAGCAAAGCACTTACCACAGTGTCTGCACATTTCTATGTAGTGTCTATAATAAGCTTACGGTAAACAATATTGGTGAGGATGATGATGTTGGCAGCTAACGTCTGCCCTTCCTTACTGGGATGTAGGCAACTCTCCACCTCTATTTCTCAAACAGCCAGCAGAACAGATTCTTTTTCCATTCTAGTTCTATTTTTTCTCTCTTTGTATTTCAGGAGTCACCCACTTGCAATCTGTTCCCTGCATCCAAAAGCCCAGCATCTTCTCCTCTTGCCCGGCCCACTCCCCCAGTCTGGGGCAAAGCTGGACCCAGTGGGAGAGCAACAGCAAGTGAGGAGGCTTGGACAGCAAAGCTGTGGGTGAATGGGAGTGGGGAAGGATGTGGAGATGACCCTCTTAATTCCTCTACTTCATTCCAGCAGGCCCGCCTCCCTCTGTCAGACCAGTCTTGGCCCCACAGCCTTCTACCAGCAATTCTCAGCGCCTCTCTCGGCCACAGGGAGCAGCTGCTAAGACTTCCAGTCGACTGCCTGTTCCCTCGGCTATCCCCAGGCCTGCCAGCCGAATGCCACTCACCGGCCGGAGTGTACCACCCAGCAAAGGTGCCCTGCCTCCAGCTTCTCTGCCAACTCGGAAAGGAGTTCCACGACCAAGCACTGCAGGGCACAGAGGTGAGGAAGAGTGGACATAACAGTTGGAAGTCAGGATGAAGAATGCTTACCCTTGTCTAGCTTGAATGTACCCCCCCCCCCAGAGCTGGGAACAGTGACTACTTCCTCCATCTTCATTACCACTCAATTTGAAGATGGCGAGACTGAGTTAAAGAGAGGATGTGGGCCCGAGCAAAGAGTTTGAACTGTGGTTCTCAAATACCTCGTGTTTTTTACCTTGGGTAGGAAGAAAGGCACTAATCCCGAACTCTGAGAAGGTCACTTGAACTCTGTGCTAACTCATTTCTCTTGTCCATCCCCATCAAGTTCCCATTTCTCAGCGACCAAATCTTCCTGCCCCTGGTGCCACCCGCAGCAATCTTCAGCCCCCCAAGAAAGCTGCAGTCCCAGGACCTACCAGGTAAGATCAGTTGAGATGCTCTCTCTCCCATCCTCTGGGCTTCCAAACTGTTGTGGACACCAGCCCTGAGTATTGTGTAGCAAGGTAGGGATGAGGAGGGGAGCCTGGAGAGGCAGGGAGTCCCATTCTTCCTTCCCTGAGAAACTTGAGCTCAGCAGGTGACAAACGGGCTTGCAGAAGGACAATTTAAAGCGGTTCTTCCTTCTGATTCTTTAGGTAAAGAGATTAGGACAGCAAGCAAGAATTCCGTAGCAAACCACTACAGTCACTGCCTGGACTCACCTCTACTCGGCCTCCCAAGCCCTCTCATGGAAGACAGGCCCCAACTCAAGCAAATCCTGGCCCAGGAGCAGGAGAAAGAGATCCCACCAGGGCTGGTGCCCCAGCAGTAAAGAGATGGGAGATGGGGTGGATTAGGGTTGAGCTGGAGGGGAGTCAAACCCTGTGAGTTGAAAGAGGGTTAGGGAAAAGAGGTCGCCTCCTGACAGTGAAATTAACAAGCAGAAAATGAGAAAAGCCAGAGAGTAGTTTGTCCTCGTCCACCCCCCCTCTTGTGTTCAGTCTCAGAGAGTTTGATCTTCTTCCCAGGCATTGGTTCACTGGACATTTACATGTGAATGGCCTCTGTAGCTAACCGCCCCACTCCCTGAGGAGCACCCTCTACTGAACTGCAGGCTTGTTTGGAGAGGCAGAGGCAGGCACCTGGTTTCCTGCAAATTCTGTGACTCCTAACGGGCCAGTTGATGATAAGCTTACATTGGGCTGCGTTTTTCTAAAACAAAATGAATGTATTTTTCTAATCTCTGTATATGTGAAAGTAAACTCTCCAATTTCAAACAAATTTGTAGTAAACTCCTGTGTTATTCCCATGAGGGAGTCAGGACGAGCTTCCCAGGCTGGGCCTAAATAGGCCAAAGGGGCTTGTGTTGCAAGCTCGTCAGACCGGGACCACCTGCCCTCACTTTGTTGGCATTAGATGGGAACGAGCTGCCTTCTTCCAGGATGCGTATGTTATTGAAAGGTCCAGATCAATGGAAATACATGAGTAAGGCTATCAAGGCAAAGTTTTGGTCAAATCGTTATTTATATCCTAAGCTTGGGTGACCTTTCCTGGCAAGAGCACAGAGCCTTCTGAGAATGCCTCAGCATCTAGTCTGCTGTGCTGATGAGATGAGGGGACCCTTTGGTGGGTACCCTAGTACTCAGTTTTGCTGACTGCTTTAGCAGAAGATACTGGAACACCTCATCACATTCTACCTTATATCATTAGAATTGTTGGGCCTAGACTTGAGGGCTGACACTAGGTTTTATAAACCTCTGCCATGCCTGGTGTTACGATTTGTATGTGGCAGAGAATTTCATTCATTTGTTGGAAAAATAAATTTGACTGCACGATGGTGGGGGGTTGGTGAAAAAATGACAGAGACTCATTTAACAGATTTTACTAAGGGTCTCCCTTTTCTCACACTTGCAACCAGAACCAAATCAATTCTTGTGAGGTTTTTGTTTGTTTGTTTGTTTTAAGATTTGTCTATTGTAGAGAGCGAGAGCTGGCGGAGGGGGCAGGTAGGGGCAGAGGGAGAGGGAAAGAGAGGCTTAAGCAGACTCTGCCCTGAGCATGGAGCCCAAGGCAGGGCTCAACATAGGGTTTGATCTCACGACCCTGAGATCACGACGGGAGCCAAAACCAAGTCAGACACTAAAAAGACTGCACACCAGGCACCCCTAATTCCTTGTGAGTTTTTGAGAGAACTTCCCTCTTTAAAGGCTGGGCTATGACTTAAGGAGCAGAGGGAGTGGAGCATCAGCTAGTGCCCCCCACACATATATGCCCATCAGCACCGTACTTAGGCATTGACATGTTCTTTCCCAGTCAGGGGCCCTCCACCGCTGTCTTCTCCTTTTTATGACTGATCTTCAGGTTCACCAAACACATTCATCTGTGTGACAGCAGCAGCTGCCTAGGCCTTTGCCCCTTTCCCTGAGCCTCCTGCAGCAACTCCTACAGCCTCTGGGATTCTAAGAATTGAGCTGGGGTAGGGGATGTGGAAACACCGAGTGTTTGGCTCTGGAGAAATTTGGCAGAGGCAAGAAAACCTTAGGGGTGTTCTCCAGCTGAGTCCTGAGCTGCCATCTGGTGAGCAGGGCCCTTGGTGACCCCCGACAGAACAGACTGAGGTGTGGCCAGCAGATGGCACCTGTGTGTGGTTTGGGAGGCGAAAGGAGCTGCAGCCCCATCTGCTGTTGCCACCTGGTGGCCAGAAAGGGTAAGGCATGTTCCCTGTGCCCTCTGTCAGGCTTGGATTTCATAACCCCCCCTGCCCTGCCCCCATCCTGCTGCAAACCTGCTTAAGCAACATCCAAGAGACTTTACCAGCTAGGGAGGAGGCCCACCTGCCACAGCTGCCCTTCTTGCTCAGCTACCTGCTTCCTTCCCTTTGGGCTTGCTTTCTATTTTTCTCTGTATGCACTCTACCCCCACCCCTCCCCAGGAGCAACAATGAGGGAAGCCAACATTTACTGGCCTCTTACTATGCACTGTGAACTGTTCTAAGAACTTTACATGTGTTAACTCATTTAATTCTCATAAAAGCTCAATTAGGAGGATGCTGTTATCATCCTTATTTTGCAGGCAGAGAAACTAAGGCTCAGAGAGCTTAAGTCACTGGGTCTGGTTCCAAGGTTTGTGCTCTTCATCACTATCCTCTATGGCCCCCGTGTTAACTCCCCAGCTAGTCTGCTGACCAGAGCCTTGGAAAACAGAAAACTCGCAAACAGAAAAAATGTTGCAGAGCACGTAGGTGACTTGAGTGTGAATTGTTGCTTCATTTCTGATGGGAAAACACACACAATGACCCAGAGGAGTGAAGTCAGAAGGTACGTCGTCACTGAGCCACTGAGCCACTCTGCCCTCCCTGTCTCCTGAATTTTGTCCCCAGGACTCAGCCCTGAGGGGCTGGACTGGAAACCTGCCTGCTCTTTGCACCCTCTCCACTGAAAACGTGTCCCTCCTGTCCTGATAAAAGGATACTCTCCTGCCGCCTGCCACATCTTCCTTGGACACACCAGGACATGGGCTCTGTGCTGATGAGGCTATCTGGAGCACCGCTGGGGTACTGGTGGTGAGGCTAGCTCACTGGCCAAGTGACATCTGAGTCCCCTGACCTCTGGGTCCTCCCAGGGCCCTGCCTGCTCGTGTTTTCCAGAGCCTCGCTCCGGAAGCACAGGGCACCCCACAGAAACAAGATGATGGCACTCAACCCGCACAGAACGACAGTTTATTCAGTGGTATGGGGAAATGAAAAAAAACAAACACAAAACCCTACTGTATTTACAGTAACAATCAAACTGTACAATCTGATGGTTAGTATCAAGTTAGCATCCAGCATCTTTGTATTTTTTAAGTCAAGTCATCAGTAGTTAAAAACCAGTTAAATTTTTAACCCTTTGTAGGAATTGCTGAGGGGAGGGTTCAGGGGGAGAATCCATGGCAGAAAACTAAGCAACCAGCCTTACATGTGAGAAACAGGAACATTTTTTTTTCCCACCCATAGCCTCTTTTTCTAGCCACCTGCTCCAGAAGAAAGTCAGTGACAAGTGGGGAATACATGCTCAGCGTACACGGTAACTCAAATGAACAGTGGTTGGCAAAACTGGGGTGGCAGGAGGAGAGGAGGCAAGAGATGAGAGCCTGGAGCGAGGGAAAGGGCCTCAACCCACCCACGCCAGGAATGCTGGGTACCCACCTGACCTGTCATGGCCACATCAGCCCCCTGGGACCGGACACGAACCCATCCCGACATAAAAAGCAAATAAATAAAAATATATATTAACTCTCTCTTCGCAGGGAGCTGAGGATGGGCGTGGCAGAAGGGGAAGAAAGAGGAACAGGACCTGGTCCTTTGAAGAAGAGAGCCAATTCCGAAAAGGGGTTAAAAATAGAACACATCTCAGAGGCCACAGTAATCAGACAAAATGGGATTTGTCTGATCTTGCGGGGGTGGCTGCGTGGACACCAGAACCCGGACTTGAGACCTGTGCTTGAGACTTCTGGGGGCAACTGAGCCAGCCCTGGCCTTATTCTTCCTCCCTTTCCCACCCACACCACAGCAAAGAAGCGCAACTGAACACGTGACTGGCCTTCCCCAGGTGGGTCAGGCAGGGAAATGAAGCACTTTTGGGTCAGCGAACTGAGCAAACGCCTGGGCTGTAGCACGTGGCCAGAGTCCAGGGAAAGGAGAGGGGCTGGGGTTGGCCCGGCCTCCACCCAGGGGCACGGGTTCCCCTCAAAATGTGTTCATGCAGCATTTGGGGGTCCGGGGGCGCGGAGTCCTTCTGCCCCCTCTCCGGACGGGGCTTTTTCAGTTCCTGGGAGGGGCAGCACAGGCAGGGTGAGAAGTGCCCTTGTCTTTGACGCCCTCACCACACTGAGGCCCGCCGGGGTGCAGCCGGCAGGGCTCGATGCCCTGGGTGCATGTGGCTTTGTCCTTTCCTTTTGGTGATGGCAAATGAGGGGCAGGCCCCCCGAGAGTCCCTCTCCTCCCAGAGGCACAGCAGATGGGAAACTGAGGAGAGGCTGGGAAGTATCCTGGGAGGTCCTATCCTCTTTGGGAAGGGAAAGGGGAGTCAGTTTCCAGCATATAAAAAAAATTAATCCCTGAAGTCATGAAGAGTGGAGATCCTTTTTTAAATTTTTTTTCCTCTTTTCTGAAAAACTTTGTCTTGGAGATGTTGGCCCCAGGGGTCCAAAGTGCAGTGAAGGGGATGGTGGGGGAGGGAGTTGGCACTAGATGGCCTTGGGTGGGGTGGGTGCCCCTCCCGGCAAGGCCCAGGCTCCTCAGATGGACGTTTCGTCGCTGCTTCGGGCAGGCGGTGGGGAGCAGGGGCAGGATAAAGCACAAGACAGGAGTGGGGCATGAGTGCAGCTGGGGAAGGTAAGGGAGCCGCAGGGTGTAGGAACCACCGGCCCAGGGTTAATGCAGGAAGTTAAAGAAGAGAAATCTGGAGAGGCAGGAAAGGAAAGTGACAGAAAAGGCAGACAGGGGGTTAGTTGGAGCAGAGAAGACAGTGAGAAGCTTCCACCAGGAGAAGGAAACAGGAAAGCAACCCCCAGCTCCCAACCCTCCCTCACTTCGCCTGATGCAGGCTGAGCTGACCCCACAGGCCCCATGGTTTGCGGGCACATCACAGTAAGGGAGCTGGGCTACACCAACCCATTGGTTCCCCGACTGCCAGCCAGAGCAGCCTGGGGAGGCCTGGAAGTGGCTCTGAGCCCAGCCAGGGGCTCTGTGGGGCTGCCCCCTGTCCCACCCAGCCAGCCCCACTCACTCGGAGCCCGACGAGTCCTCATCCACTGTGCCCGCCTTGATACTCATGGCGATGGGCATGACCCCATTCAGCTGCTCCTGGAGACTCTGCCGGGGAGGAGGGCGGGGAGGGGGCCCGCCCCGGCTGCCCTCGCTGGCTGAGGAGCCCCTAGAAGACCCTGTGCCTTGCTCCAGGGGTAGCCGTAAAAGGCTGCTCTTCTCACTGATGGTGGGCAGACACTTCTTCTTGAGGATGCCTGTGGGCCGGGGTGGGGGGGCAGGCGCCATGAGGAGCAGGTGGTGGGTCAGGGAGCTACCCTAGAGAGCCCTACCAGCCACAAGGCGAATGTGAAGTGGGAGGCTGCCAAATGGGGGACCATGGCAGCTGGGCATGCCCCACTCACCTTTGTGAGGTTGGGCAGAGGGGCCTGGAAGGGGGCCAAGGGACCCCTCCCGAGGCAGGGCATCTCCATTCTCCCACGGGCGCTCCTCAGAGGCCCCATTGCCACTACTCTCCTTTGCTGTGGTCCCAAAGTCTCCTGGCCAGGGGGCCTTCCCGGGCCCTGGGCCCCCATCTGGTGGAGAAAGGATGTAGATAAGGCCCAGAGAAGGCAGACAACTAGGAAAGTCACCACCCCAGGAGTCCCTGGCTCTCTGCCCTCCCGCTGCCCCCTCAAAGGCCACAGCCCTGGCGCTGGCCCACCCTTGGGGGTGCTGTGCAAGGGCAGTCTCTCAGCGCCAGGCCCCAGCAGGCTGTCCCAGCCCGGCTCTCCAGGGAAGACGGCCCCTTCCTCCTCCTCTTCTTCCTCCTCCTCGCTGTCTGACGAGTGAGTAGAGGCATAGGAACCACTCTGGTCATCTTCCAGGGATAGGTCACTGTCAGAGTCTGTGTCAGGGTCTGGGATACAGGGAAGAGGTCAGAGCTGACCCACCCGCCTCTGCACGCCCTCCGCGAAAGCCAGGCAGCTGCCCCCCGACCGGCCAGCACGAGCTTCCTTTCTCACCATGCTGCTGGTCTTGACCTTCCAGGAATAGGCTGCCTGGGTCCCCCAGGCCGGGGGGCCCTTGGCCGGGGTTGAGTGTGGACTCTTCCCTGAGAAGACAAGACCACGCTGGAGGGCTCAGCCCAGCCCCTTGCCCAGTGTCCCATTCTTTTCTCTCTCTCCGGGTTCCCAGTTCCTGCCCTATGCCCCTCCTGCTTCTAATTTAAGTTGTCACGCGTGTCAGCCTCCTGTGTGCTATACGACTCCCAGCAGGTGGCTGGCCTGGCCTCCAGCCTGCGTGGTGCTCTGAGCCCCTTGCCGACGCCCCGAACCCCAGCGCTCACCTCAGCAAAAAGGGGATGTAGCTAGGCTGACTCTTGCCCGAGCGGCTGGCACTGTGCAGAGAGCCGGCTGAGTCTCCGTAGGGCTGGTACAGCCGCCCATCTGCATAGGGGCTGGGGCAGTTGTAGGACTAGGCAGGGAACGGAGCGGTCAGTAAGTGGGGGAGCAGGATGAGACGGCCCCAGGATGGGGAGTGGAAGGGCCGAGGGAGCTCCCACATGCCCAGCTCTGGAGGAGAGAGGCCCCATATCTCAGCTGCGCACGACCCCATATCAGGGCCTGGTAGTGGATGTAGCTCTGACCTAGCTGTGCAAGCCCCGTGCACCCTAAGCACCCCGGATTCAGCTCCACGAGACGGCTACCTGGTAAAAGCTGGTACCAGGAATGATCTCCCAAGAGTGTGTTGGGAGACACAAAATTTACCAAGATGAGCCAGGGATTCTCAGACATTGGGTACCCGTGACTGCATCACTTGTCTTGGCCCCTTCCTGGCCTTGTTCTTCCTAGCTTCACTCCCATCTCTCTTGAGTCAAACCCTCCTCGCCAGCCCCAAATCCTGCTCTTCCCGGGCTACACATACCATTTCCCCAGCCCTTCCTCCTCCCGAGAAAGGATGTTGGAGTGAAGAAAGAGTGGGGCACAAAGCACAGACAACAAGCTCTTTGGGGCTCCTGTCTCTTCCTCCCGGCCCCAGAGCCCTCCACGTCCCCGGCCCCTGGCCCCCTCACCGAGGTCAGGGTGGACTTAGTGGTCAGTGCAGGGTCAGGGCTGGCCTTGCGGCTGCAGGCAAACTTGAACGCTTTCCGGACCTCCTTGCTAAGCACCACGTAGGAGAGGAGGATGAACGGGCCCTGGCAGGCAACAGGCAGCAGCTAAGTGCCCGTCTGGGCCCCCCATGGCCAGGTCCCATCCCCCACCTCCACAGGGCATGGCCAGGCACCTGGACGCAATTGCAGGCAGCAAAGAGGTAGTGGAAGAGAAGGGTGTCACTGTTGACAGACAGCAGTGCCAGCAGCCACGTGGCGCTCAGCAGCAGGAGGACGGCGAAGGAGGGCCGCAGGCCTGAGCTGGAGAGGAGGGGCTGTGAGCCCGGCCCGGAGGCCCCCTGCACCACCGCCAGCCCACTGCCCACTGCCCAGGCACCCACACCCCATACTTACACGGGGCCTTTCTTCTCGAAGCCCTGCCTCTGGGCAGCACAGGAGGCCCGGGCCGCCAGGATGTATAGAAAGACACTCATCTAGCGGGGCAGGAAATTGGGGAGGGGCATCATCAGGGGACAGATAGCTCCTACCCCACCCCACGGGGGCCCAGCAGTGGCACTACTCCTGAAGGGGACCCTGAGGACACACGCAGCCTGCTGGCCCTCAGCCCACTCTCTGACACCTACTGAGACTGCGAAGGCCACAGGACCAGCAAAACTCCAGATGAGCGTGTCGTAGACGGACAGCCAACAGAAGTCCGGGTTCCCATAGCCCTCAGGGTCCAGGCCCACAGCTAGACCTGGGGGTACGGTGACAACAGCAGGGGAAGCAGTGGTAGGGCCTTGGGAATCAGTCAGGGGTCACGTGGGCTCACGGGGCCAGGTACAGGGGATGAAGGGCTCCACCCACCCTGTGTCCCTGCTGACCTCTCCAGGATGGGGTACCCAGCCCCTGGTGGGAAGCATCAGGGGCTGAGAGGAGGACTCGGCCTGGGGCACAGGGGCGTGGATGGAGAGAACATGGCACGAAGGTGGACCCCAGGCTTGGAAATGTAGAGCCTCAGACTGGGAATGGGGTGGGGGTACCTGTGATGAAGGCGGGCACGCCCCAGCCCAGCATGTAGTAGAAGCGCATAGGGCCAGCATTGACGTCGCGCACCTCGGTGAGCGCCCGGTACAGGTGCAGGGCCTCCAGCAAGGCCCAGGAGAAGGTGCAGAGGTACAGGAAGTGCAGCAGGATGGCAATAACTGTGCAAGCAAACTGGGGGCCCAGCCACGCCAGGTCAGTGACCAGGGCACCTCCAGGGCACGGATTCTGACTTACTAGGCAGACAAGGAGGGCCGGGGTGTTGGGTGGTGCTTCGGGAAGTGTGGGCCAGAGAGAGGTACTTCTAGGGTGCCGGGGAAGTGAGGGGAGCTCAAGAACAGGAAACCGTGGGTTAGGTGTGGGGCTGAGCTCATCAGAGCTGCTGCTGCAGAAGCAGGGACTGGGGCAGACAGCCAGGGAGGACTCCTAGGGAGCCAGGGAGGACTGCGAGCTGTGGATGGTTTCTGGGTAAGAAAAGAGGTCTTACAGGGAGGTCAGCCTGGTTGATTCCTAGGAGGAAGACCAGCTGCGCCAGGCCCAGGGCAGCAGTCAGGTTCCGTCGGATGCCATGCTGGTTGGAGCGGAGGGCACGCAGGACTGTGAGGAAGAGGAAGGCGAGCAGCAGGGCAGCCAAGGTGACCCCTAGGGCCACGTAGGTCAGTGTCTTCAGCGGCAAGATCTCCCCATTCTGCAGGGCAGGGGGACCAGGAGAGTTAGGAAGGGCCGGGCCTGAGCATCCAGCCCAGAGCCCTGGGCCCCCACCCCTAGCTCCACGCATGCCTCTGGCCCCCCAACCCCCCACTGGGGGTCTAACCTCCCGCCGGGACACATCCATGAGCACGGCGAAGCTCGTCATGTGGTTGCACTGGCAGCTGACATGGCTCTCGTTGCGGAAGACGACCTCACAGCCTCGGGCTGACCAGCCACCAGTGCCGCTGACCCTGCGGGAGGGGAGGCAGAGTCAGGAGATCAAGAGGGGAAGGCACCCAGGGGCCTGGCTCTCTGCCCAAAGTCCAGTGCAGGCTCACAGGATGGAATGGTTCCAGAAGACACAGATGGGCTTGGTGCGTTCTTCTGTCTCCAGCAGCCGGAACTGCACGGTGACCGGCTTGTCCAGGGCTCGGGGCAGCAGCTCCTCGTCATCATGGACGCTGATACTCACCACAGGCGTGTTGATGACCGGCCTTTTGGGGACTCTGATGAGGAACAGGTAGGCATATGGTCACTAGGGCCATCTGGTGGCTGAGGGGACACCCCGCAATGCTGGGGGATACCCCCAGCCCTGGCCTCTCTCCATGCTCCCGCACTCACCCGCCCTGCATCCCCACCCCATCCTCATCTCTTCGGCCCACTCACCTCAGGCTGCGCTTGTCTGGGTCGTAGTTATGGGGCAGCAGCCCAGCCAGGGTGCGGTAGATGATGACACTGGCCACAGCCTCACCCTGGCTCAGCTCCGGGTGCCGCCGCTGACGCCGGGCCAGCTCTTCAGGCTCCTGGGCCTCTCCAGGGCCCGCAGGCCGGACCATGGTTGGTGTTTCTAGGATCGGGACACTGTCCACTCAGCTGGGCCCTGCACAGATGCCCCAGCCAGGCTCCCGACCCCCACTGCAGCTCCCCACTGACCTCGAAAGACAGAATCAGGCAGAATGACCGTCGTCTCAAGGTCTGGGGGCCGTTCCCCGCGCAGCGCCTCATAGCGGGGCAGCTTGGCCCCAGCAAAGTTCCCCTTGTCCAAGCGAACCACAGAGATGACTGGGGAGAGGGTCACAGTTCAGACCCACGGCCAGGCGGGTGGGCACCCAGCCCAGCAGGCCATGCCCGGGGTTCTGTGCACAAGCCCCGCCCTGACCCAGGCTCACCAATGTTGGGCGTGACAATGGTGAAGGGGTTCAGGTAGGTGTGCCGCATGTTCTGGGCCAGCGCGCTGGCGTAGGCCTCGTAGTGCTGGAGCAGCCAGGCCGTGCCACCCTCCGTCTGCTGGATCAGCTCCCAGTGCCGCTTGTTGGCTGCGTCTAGGAGGGCACTGCCCACCCGCAGCAGGTTCTAGGGTGGGCGTGGTCACGGTGCTATAACCCGGGGCCTTCGCATCCCCGCCACCTGGCACACCTGTGCCTAGACCAGCCAGGGCGACCCATCCGAACCATGCCCCTCCCTCAGACCTCTCCTCCTTCCGTAGCTAAGGGCTTCTGGGCCCTGGGCCTGGACCCCCACCCAGGTATTAGGGGCTGACCTCTCCCCACCGTGGCACAGTGGGCAGGGCCTCTGCTCCGAGGAGCCTGGTCACACCAGGCCCCAATACAAACATTAGTTTCTATCAGCACCTTACTAGAAAAAGGGCTAGAAAGAGATACTCTAAATTCCACAGCTCAAGGGAGCTCCTGGAGGCCTCAGGCCAGCGGGGAGGTCCCTCCCCAAAGGCAGGGATGGCCCCCAAGTTGCCCCAGGAACAGGCTCACTCACCATGACCCCCATCTAACCAGCCAACCCTGCCCCATCCAAGCCCCACCTCGGTGAAGTGCACATCTTGTGTGGCGGACAGCCCAAAGCCCCGCTGGGCGCTCTCGTGCGCCAGCAGCCGTGTGGCCAGCTGGTAGGCCACCTTGACATCGCTGCCAAAGTAGCCCGCCGTGTGCTGCGTGGCATTGCGCAGAAGCAGGGCCAGTCGCTGGGAGCGCCCAGAGTCCAGGCCCGATTCGTTCCGCTGCAGTCGCTCAGCCTAGGATGGAGCCAGACAGGATAGGGAGCAAGGAAGGTCAGCATAGGACAGAGCTGGAACTCAAGAATAAAAGGGCCTCAGGAAAGGGGAGAAGTGGCCACTCCATGTGGAGGCCCCGGGAGGCAGGGCCTGGAGTTTCAGAAGCCCCTCTCTCAAAGCCAGCAGCAGGGAGGGGAGAGAGGAGCTGGTGATGAAGAGATTCACTTACAAAGCCCTTCAGCTCTGAGAAGGTGACCGACGTGCAGTTGAAAAGGCTTGGGGGGAGCCACCCCCTGTGCTCATCACAGTGGCGCACGGCGGTCCCTGGGGGGAGGAAGCCCAGAGGGCAGGCCTCAGGAGAGATATAAGAGGCTTCCAGGACCTGCCTGAGTCCCTGGGGTCCAGCACCTCATGGGCCAGAGACAGGAACAAGCCAACAAGGGACCTGCCCTCCTCCAGCCCAGCTCAGAAGAGGAAGAAAACTCTGGAGAACACTAGAGCCCAGACCTCTGCCAGATTGGCCCGAGGGAGGACTCCAGGAGCACGGGGTGTGTGTTCTCCTCAAGACCCCAGCATCACTGCCCCTATGCTGCCATCAGTCTGGGCTTCCTGCTGCTCTCTGCTTATGAACTCTGATCATCATCGATCCAAGGACCAGCACCAACCCCCATCCTGGGGGGGTCTTACACCCGACAGCTCCTAACCCCCAGACTGCCTTCCTTGTGAGTGGCAAGACTCCCATTCCAGGGCGTGAGCTGCAGATGGGAACGCTGTTTGATTCCTCTTCGAATCTCTAGAATCCATCCCCGTGGCAGGCACGCTGCAGCTTTGTCAGCATTTTTCATAAGAGTTCAAGATAGAGGTGCCTCTCATCCCGGCAACTTTGGGAGCAGAGGAACAGAGCACCAAGGAAGGAAGGGACATGAAGTCTCCAGAGAGAGGTCCTGGGATTTGCAGCCAGGGGCTTCCCACCCTCATCCCAGGGATGAGAGACTGAGTCCACAGTATCACATCTAGGCTTCCAGCACCTACCAAAGGAGCCTTTGGGGCAGGGGGCAGCAGCAGGCAGCCCAAAGCGGGTACGGGGCCACCAGATCCCAGCCTCGATGGCCCGTGGGCAGCTGTCGTAATTCACTGCAAGGAAGCACACAGGGTCACCCAGAAGCAGCTGCCCCCCCTGGAGCTGTGCTTGGGCTTCCAGCCCTCTCTCAGCAGCCTCAGGCCTGCAACTAACTCCTGCTCCTGGCCTCCCTGGCATACCGGGACCTGGCGCACAGCAGGAGAGCCACCGACCCATCGTGGGAATCCTACCTTCACAGCCATTGGTGGTGACCTCAGCAAAGGGGTTGTCACAGCGGTCACACTGGCGCCCAATGACGCCTGGCTTGCATGGACACTGGCCATCCTCAGGGTCACAGACGCGGGACAAAGAGCCCGTGGGGTAGCAGTCACAGAGGAGGCAGGTGGGGCTGCCCGGGGGCCGATAGTGGTTCTCCTGAGAGGGAGGACAACATGGATCACTGGCTCAGGCTCTGTCTCTCCGGGATGCTCACGGGTCTTTTAGGCTGTGGCCCCTCTAGAGAGAGGCTCGCTGACTTTAGGACCCCCAGGAGTGGTATTCAAAATATTTAGGGGCCCCTGGGTGGCTCAGTCAGTTAAGTGTCTGCCTTCAGCTCATGTTATGATCCCAGGGTCCTGAAATCAAGCCCCACATCGGGCCCCCTGCTCAGCAGGAGCCTGCTTCTCCCTCTGCCCCTACCCCTACTCCTGTGCACATGAGCTCACTCACACACTCGCACTCTCTCTTGCAAAAACAAAATCATAAAAAAAAAAAAAATTTTAACTAGGAAAAGTTTGCAGGGTAGCCCATCAGTAAGACACCAACCAGTCAGAGTGGGCTGCAAACAGTGAGACCCCGGGACACGCCCACCTGCTCATTTCCCCGGGCCCCTGGCACACCTGCAAACAGCCAGTACAGCTGGCCTAGAGCTCCACGGTAAAGTACAGGTCTCGGGTCCCCCCAAACAGCAGACACAGAAGAGCACGTGGCCGCCTGTATCCCCCATCATAGCAAGAGCACATAGCCCTGAGCTCTCTGAGGGAAGGCTTTCCCCACTGCCTCCCCTCACGGGCCCAGACGGCCATGTGGAGGCCCAGGTCAGGGCAGTCACCTTGCAGTGGCACTCGCCACTTGTCTTGTTGCAGTCTGGGTCGAAGCCTTTGCTGACGTCACAGTTGCACGGGCCACACGTGGGGTGTCCCCACCAGCCTCGGGGGCAAGGTTGGTCAATCCTGCAGAGAGGGGCCCAGGCAGACATGAGCTCCCTCTGCCATGCCTGCCGGCTGCAGCCTCATGTGACCCTTCTGATGGTGGCTGTAGCTCAACCCAGTTCCCGGTGCTCTAAGGGGACCCCCCCCCCCACCCCAGGGACAGGCTGCTGCACTTCCGGGTCCACTCACCTGGTCTCACAATATGGCCCAAGGTAATTTTGGGGACACTCGCAGGTGTAGCCATGGGGGGCGCTGGGCTTTCGGATACACACAGACTGATGCTCACATGGGTTCAGGTCACACACATTAGTACAGTTGTCACCATAGTAACCTAGGACCATAAAGATGACAGAGGGTCAATTCCTACCCTTCCCTGGCACTTTGTTTAAACCTGCCCTCACTCTGCCACCTTCCACCTGAGAACCCTACAGGCTGGCCACAGCTTTGTAGCGCAGGATACACGGCTCAGAGAGGTCATGTGATTGGCCTTGGGTCACACAGCAGAGCTGAAGTGAGACCCCGGGACACGCCCACCTGCTCATTTCCCCGGGGCCCCTGGCACACCTGGATCACAGCTGCAGGAATAGCTGTCCCAGTCATCACTGCAGTAGCTGTTGGCAGGACACGGGTTCGAGTCACAGGGGTCTGGCAGACTGCAGCCTGGCTCCACATTGATGCTCTCCCCGCGGCTATGGTCCAGACTGCTGACCCCCTCGGGCGTCTCGCTTACCCTCACGCCCTGGGAGGGACACAAGCAATGTTGGCCCTCCATGAAGCGGGCCTCCTAACAGAGAGGAGGGGAAGGCAGAGGAGGCCACCCACCTGCAAACAGCCCCGGAAGCCGCGGGTCACGCCACCGGCCGGCCCTGGCACTCCCCCGATGGTAATGTTGCTCAGGTGCAGCCCATGCAGCCGGGGCCCAAGGTTGCCCTCTGCCCGCTGCTGCCCATAGTCGAAGGACAGGATGGCATGGCCGGGGCCCCCACTGGCTCCTAGTGCCAGCTGTGCATGGTGCCAGTCGCCGTCATTGGCCCGGCCTGGCTCCAGCCGGAGAGATGAGGCCTGGAGCCCTGTGCCCTCCACACTCAGCACCACGTGGCCTTCCCTTAGCTTCACCAGAAGAGAAGAAAAAAGGGTCAGCAGCCTGCCTTCATCGGCTCTTCTAGCGCACTGCCCTTTTGCTGGACCACCAAACCCATCCTCTGGCCCCCTGAGGCCCCAGAGCAAAGGGTATTATTTTCCGTTGCGGCCAATAGATGGCAGCAGTGATCCAACAAGTGGACGGCAAGTGGACAGAGCTGCTTCGGGCTTGGGGAAAGGTAAGACCCCGCCCAGCCCTCTAAGAGCGGCCCCCCCGGCTACCGTGGCCCAGCTCAAGGCCTGCCTGCCCCCTACCCCTCCCTGCTTCACCTGCAGGGTGATGGTGCTGCGCCCCCGGGTGACAGCCTGCAGCAGGACACCGTTGGCCTGACGCGTGCGAAACATGAGGCTGAGGTGCCAGGGCTGGGAGATGGGCAGCGAGAGGCCATGCCAGGCCACCAGGCTGCTGCCCAGGAAGCGCTGCGGGTTGGCCATTTCTGGGGAGGCAGATAAAGGCAGACTCTGAGGGCGGAGTGGCCAAGTGCCCCAGGGGGTGTGATGCTCAGAGGGGCAGGCTCTGCTGGAGGTAGGGCACTGCCTCTCCCAGTGCCCACGCCTCGAGCTGGCCCCGCCCTCCAGAACATTTACCTGTCCGGGGCCCGCCCCACACTGTGCCCAGGCCTGCCTCTGACTGGGCCCTTTGTCTCCAGCGCTACCCTCTCAGGGCTCTGCCCAGACACGCTTTTCCGCCCACAGCCCAGCTTGGCTGGGCCCTGCCCAGTGCCTTCCCCGACCCTGCCAGCGTTCCCAGCATTGTCGACAGCTCTCGGGCCTTGGCCGCTGCTGGCGGCCTCTCCTACCCTGGGCACAGCTCTTGCCCCCGAAGCCCAGAGGACACTCGCAGCTAAATGCGTCCCACTGGTTCACACAGGTGCCCCCATTGTTGCAGGTACTGCTGTCACACACGTTCTTCTTGGCAGGGCAGCCTAGAAGGGAGAGAGAGGGGCTCCCTCGGGGCTCCAAACTGGAAACCTGTGGCCGGAGGGGCCTCTGAAACCCCCACCACGTCCCCATACCAGCACAGCCCTCCTTTCCACCCCAGGCTCTGGGCCTGGCCCCTGCCTCAGGCTCCCATACCAGGCACAGTGCCATTGTTGGCAATGAAGTCGGCCATGTCCACATGCCGGCTGTCCACCTGCAGGTTCCTCATGCAGCCCACAAAGTGCCGAGCGCGGACCGGGAAGCTCTCAGGCAGGTCGGGGACCCCACCCAGCAGTAGGGGCCCTGTCAGGTCCAGAGACCTGGAAGAGCAAAAATGGGGGGTCTTCCGGCTCTTCCTTCTCCCCTCTCCCTGCCACCAGGCCAGAGAGACCAAGAGCCAAAGGGTCCCTGAAGAACAGCACAGGGGAAGGGAGGCACCCCAACCTGGAGCTGCTCTCACCTCATCTCATACCCACCCTCCAGACTCTGCTCTAATCCCCTATTCTTGCCGCTTCCGCCCCCCTCCCCAAAACCCCTGTAGAAGGCTGAGCAGGGGCTAAGGGAAGCAAGGGGAGGGAGGGCCTTCACCTGGATTGGTTTCCATTTCCAGGCCCCCTCAGGCCCACCATCTCAACCTGCCCTCCCTACCTGGTCCCACACTGCACCCCATGCCCCAGCCCTCCCCCCACCCCACTCACTTTTTGCTGCCCCCCTGGGTGCCCTGGGCAGCACAGGAGTAGTTGCCCAGGACAGCTCCAAAGCGCAGGGCCACCCCCGTGTCACAGCCATCCACGGTCACCACAGCCACCTTCTGTTCCGATGGGCCCTGCGGGAGCCCCGTCTGCCCTAACAGTGGCTGTGGACAGAGATGGCAGACAAGGGGAACCATGAACAAGGAGCTCACAAGGTTCATGGGCCAGGCACAGAGACACCAGCACCTGCAAACACCCCTTTGTACACACGCGTGTGAGTGTATACACTCATGCACATTCAGTGTGCTCACAGAACCTTCCTCAACAGTGAGGCTTCCTCAACAGAGAAGGCTTACCTGCCTTCCTCAACAGTGACTGGAGTCCATGCCTGTCTAATAGGACATGGAGCATCGACCACCACACAGTGGTAAAAGGGGAACGGCCCAGCCCACCCCATTCCCTCCCTTTCAGCCAGAAGTGCAGTGACCACCCCCCCCCACCCCGGATAAAGCACCACCTCAGTCTGAACACCTGAGGCAAGGACAGAAGCCACTGACTCCCTGACCCCCTCCGACACCCACCTTATTGTAGTACTTCAGCTGTACCGTGTGCCACTGGCCATCACTGACCCCTCCAGGCACGAATGGGGACACGGTGGTGGTCGACTCCCCTGGGGAAAGGACCCAAGTGAGCTGGGACAGCAGATGAGGGCTGGGAATGGGGAGGGTATGCTCATGGTTGGGACCGGACCCAGGTCTGGCTGGGGGGAGGTGTGTATGTGACTTGGGATCAGGGGCCAAGACACCTAGGGCCTTTGGGAGATGGACAAGGACATGCGGCAAACAGGGTCACCTGCAGAGAAGGTGAGCTGGACCTGCTCCTGGATCACCTCGAGGGCCATAAAGTCATGCTTCTCGTTGAAGCGTCCGTTGTATAACAGCAGCCCGTCACGCTCCTTGGTGGCAAACCTGAGCGGGAGTTGAGGGTAGGGGGCAGGGAATGGGGCACCTAGCTAATCCCAAACACTCCAGCCACCTAACTAGCCCCTGATCCTATGCAGAACCCTCCAAAGGGCTGACACCATGGCCCTTGGCTCTATGGGCCATGGAGCTCAAGTGTGGACGATGAGCCCACACCGGATCTGAAACCAGACCCCTGACCCCATGGCTCCCCACCCTTGAAAGTGGGTAGGAGGAGTGGTCAGTGATCCAGGTGGGTGAGGAAGGGCTGCTGGCACAGTGCACAGGCAACTCGAAATGCTGATCTGGCTCTGCCAACAACCTGCTCCCAGCACTTTCGCTGCCTGACCTCTTACTCTGTCTGAGGAAGGGGAGACACCCAGGCTCCCACCGCCCTCCCTCACCGCCCCCACAACCCAGTGCCCAGCCACTCACGAGAGGGCCAGGGTGAAGTGAAAGCGCTGGCGCAGGCCACGGAAGGTGATGAAGGAGCGGGCAGGGAAGCTGCGTGTGGTCACCTGACAGTAGGGCTTCTCGAAGTCTCCAGACGGGCAGTCGCACTTGAAGCCACCCACCAGCAGGTTGACACAGGTGCCCCCATTCTTGCAGACACCTGGCGTGCAACGGCCTGAGCGGGCACTCACCTCACAGTGCTCACCTGGGCAGGGGGAAAGGCAGGGTAATAACCAAGTGCCCGAGAAGGTGGAGGGGAACTGGGATGCCTCCCCGGGGCCCAGCCATACCTCTGTCAACACTCCCAAGTTCTCCCAAGCATCCTCACCACCCTCCCCTATACTGCTGCCCTGCAAATTCTTGGAGCTCCCAGGCCCTTCTGTACTCCTATTTGGGGCTCAAGCGCACAGGTCTGCCGGGTCCCCTGGTCAGAAGGCCCAAGTCCTAGTAAGCCTCTGCTGTCACAGCTACAGAGCAAGCTGGGGGGTGTTCTGTTCCCACAGGGGTGAATGTGCCTGGAGGAAAGAGCCTGCAGGACACCAGGGCTGGCGCCAAACCCTCTTCCTCCCTCTCTCCCACTGGTGCTTTTGTTCCTGTCAGGCGCCAAGATCAGTTTCCCTCACTGCGGATGAGACTAGGCTTCCACTTGGATTGTCAGAGTTCTGGGTGGAGAGAGGGGGGTAGTTGGGGGGGGGGTGTGAAGCTGGGGACTCTCAGGAGTGGGGCAGAGAACTCCCACCCTGGGCCCTGGGGTCCAGACTGAGGTCCTCTGTGCACTTGGGAGATGCGACAGAGCGGGGAACGGAGCCTTGGGAGCAGACCAGGATTTTAGTGGAGGAGCTGAAAATTCCAACAACATCAGATGGAAAATCCACCCCTTTCTCTCCCTCCCCATTCCCAGATTCTAGAGATAGGTTCTCAGCTCCTGTGCCTAGTGACTGGCTCTTGTTTCCATGGCAACTGTTGTTCGCCTACTCTAAGCCCCCCTCCCCATCCTCTTGGACAAAGACTCCCCTCCCATCCCCCAAGCCCTCCCCTCCCTTCCACCCCCACCCACAGCAGCAGCTGAGAGGAGTCAAGTCTGGCAAGTTCTGGGCAGGAAGATGCAGCAGGGAAGGCGGTGGGGTCTGCCTGCCACTGCTGGCAGAGCCAGTGGGCATGGCTGTGAAGGAGAGAGAATAAGGCCTAACCATCTGGGAAGGAAGGGCCCAAGGAGGAGAGGAGAAGGGGGTGTCCTGAGGAGAAGCAGGATCCTGCAGGGGCAGGAGCACAAACCAGAGTCAGTGAGCCTCCCGGGGAGAGGCTGGGGAGGGGATGTGTAAAGACCCAGGTCACAGGCCCACAGGAAGGCCTCACCCTTCTTCCAGCACCTGGGCAGGAGTGGAGCTCTTCTGCTCAGGGTCACTCAGGTACAACGACCTTCTGAAACAATCCTGCCCCCCACCCAAACCCCTCCAGTTTCTTCTATGCCATCCCCTCAATGCCTGGAAAGGAAACCACTGCTTATAACCCAAAAGGTGACTCTCAGCAATGGTGGAGACCAGGTCCCAGGCCCCGCTTCAGGGCTAGTTAAGCTGTGGGGTGAGACTCAGAACAAGTCACCTGATGCCAGGGGTCTCTTAAATCACAGCCAACACATTCCACATGTATTTAGTTAATTAAATTAATCCTTATAACCATGTTATGATGTAAGTAGATTCATTATCTCCATTTGAAAATAACTGAGACACAGACAGATTCAGTAATTTGCCCAAGGTCACGCAACTAACTACTCGTGGCAAAGCTGGAATACAAACCCAAGCGGGATGCGTCTAGAGCTGGTGCTGGCCTCACTTGCGCTGCCTGAGATGGGGGGTGGAAGGCGAACTCTGAGAAGGGCTTCCCCCTCTCCACCTCCTTTCTCCCCAACGGGTGTAGAAAAGCAATTCAGATCTGCCTAGGGCCAGGGTAACCTCTACCTTACTCTGGAAGGAACGAGGCTGCCCCGGCCCTAGGCCATGTCTGCGCCTGCGCTGTGGTGTCAGCCCTGCAGGCCCCGCCCCCAGCTCACCTGTGTAGCCGTCGCGGCAGAGGCAGGTGTAGCCCCCCTCACGGCTGCGGCAGCGCCCGTGGGGACCGCACGGCCGTGAGTAGCAGAGGTCCACCTCAGTCTCGCAGTAGTCTCCCGTGAAGCCAGGCGGGCAGCGGCAGCGCAGACCTCCGACGGGGTGGATGGGCCGGAAGAGCACGGAGGAGGAGGCGATGAAGGGCGCGGAGGAGTCAAAGCGCAGCACCGACACGCAGCGCATGTAGTTCTCGCAGGGCTCGCGCAGGCAGATGTTGTCGTCGAAGGGCAGCACGCGCTGCGCCGAGATGGCCGTGAGCAGGCTGCGGTTGAGGTACAGGCGCTCCTGCAGGTCCTCAGAGGGCAGAAAGGGCGGCCCGCCCCCGGGCCCCGGCGGCTGGCCCACGGACAGGCTCACATTGAGGATGTGGCCGCCAGGGGCGTCGGTGTCCCGCTGCACGTTGAAGACCACCACGTGGTCTGGGGGGGTGGCCAGCGTGGCCGCCACCGCCTGAATAAAGAGCCCCAGTAGTGGGGAGAGGAAGCGCTCTGGCGACATGTCCTCTAGGCGCAGTGTGATGCTGTGCGTGAGCATCTCATCCGTGATGATGGTGACACGCAGTGCGCACTGGGCGGTCACACTGTGCACGCCGTCTGCAGAGAAACGACATGGGTCAGTACCTGACGTGGAGCTGGGGAGGGCGGGGATGCCAAGCCATAGACCTAGCACTGGGTAGGAGCGCCCCGAGAAGGGAGGGGGAGCTAAGATCTAGCCCACACACCCCTGCATTGCTCAGTTGCCACAATGGACTCCCTTTTCTAATTGGCAAAAGGGGCCCAAGAAACTACATATATGTCACCTGTAGACAAGTCACACCTTGAGGGATCAGCCCCCATAGACACTTAGAGGGAGTTGATTTTCAGAAGTTCTCTTTGCATACTTTCCCAAAACCCTCCGTTGTGGAGAATAGTACATTTTTAAATGTTTGTGCACCTTTTCCCTGCCCAAGTTGTGAGTCTGGCTCCCTTATATCAGACTGGGCTTCCCTACACAAGAACCCGATTTTGCCTATGTCTTACCTTTCTATAGGGCCCAGAGCACCACAAGATACCCACAAAAACAATTATCCTGCCCCCTCCGCCTCTATATCTCAACACTACCATACCCCTGACCCTGTCTGTGCTCCCTCCTCCCCCACCAAAGCAGAGTGGGGGGTGAACTGGGTCAGTGGGCCACCCAGTCCCCCTCCCACTGAGCCCCATAGCTGCTTGGGCGCAGGCCTACTATCCCCATAGCAACGCTCCACACAAAGCATTCTTCCTGCCCAACTCTCCAGGCTGCCGAAGATAGCCCGGGGCTGGGGGGTGGGGGGGCTCACCCCAGGAAATCCAGCTGAGCCAACCTACCAGAGGCTGCAGCACCCGTTGCCTGATGCTGTGAGGGATCTGGGGGGCAGTGATGACAGGGTTGGGCAGCTCTCCAATCTGAAAGCCCAGAAGAGCCCCACTAGGCTGATCCCTCCTCTGGCTTTGGGCCTCCAGCTATTCATCGCCCACTTGGCTCACACATTATACCCAAATGCCTGCCACACCTGTGGGCCACACACTCACTTATAAACAGCCAGGTGCTAACACACTCTAGTGTCTCACTCCACCCACACTCTAAGCCCAGAAATTCCATACACACCTGAATGCACATATACATGGCAGTGGATTTTGTTTAGCTCTGAAATGAAAGCTGGAGGCCTGTGGGGAGGGGGAAGTGGCTTGGCAGGGCTCTAAAGAGTATTCATGTTTTTATTTATTACAATGTCCTACACATAGTAGGTGTTTAGTAAATAACGAGATGTTGATGGCTCCATAGTGAAGAAATGGTCTTTAAAACACAGTGGGGTGAGGGCGGGGGGGGGGCGCCGGGGTGGCTCAGTCATTAGCATCTGCCTTCGGCTCAGGTCATGGTCCCAAGGTCCTGGGATCGAGCCCCACATCGGGCTCCAGGCTCAGAGGGAAGTGTGCTTCTCCCTCTACCTCTCCCCCCAACTTGTGCTCCCTCTCTCTCATTCTCTCTCAAATAAATAAAATCTTTTTAAAAAATAAAACATAAAGCACAGCAGGGGTCCCGAGTTGATGTTGATAAAGGACTCCCTGGCAGGAACCGGTCAGGAGATGGTGTTTCTGGGGTGGGGTGGGAGTAGGAGAGGAACCTGGGAATAGATTCTGTTTCTATGACACACCTATTTGAGGTGGCTAACTACCCCAGGCAGCTCAGCTGAGCCTGGGAAGGCTGAAGGCAGAGACCCATCTAAGCCCCGTTCTCAGCCCACCCACCTGCCCTCCAGCCTCATCACCTGAGACTGCCGAAGCCCGCCAGCTCTCACCAGCAAGCTTGCTTGTCATTACCCACTCCTGCTCCTCCCATTCCTGTCTACAGCCACCGAACATTCTGTGCCTTCCCACCTGGCCTACCCAGATACCACCCACAGTCCTCCTACTTCTCTCACCGCCCCAAGCTCACCTACTTTAGGAAGCCTGCCCAGATCGATGACCTCAGGCTCTGCTTCCTCCCTTTCAGACTACCCTGCACTGGGGTATGGAGCTGGCACAGGCCTCTTGTGTAGTTGGTGTCTCTGCCCATTGATTCCTTGATGGGATAGTCCCTCCAGGCAGAAAGTGGCCCAAGAGTCCACACAGTGCCCCTAACTGATTAGGGAAGGGAGGAGGCAGTCAAAGCCCATGAACGAGAGAAACCTCACCAGCACTCAGCCCTGGGAACAAGCGCTCCTCCCTGTGCCTCCCCTTGGCAGTCCCAGGCCCCGCCCATGCCCCTCACCCAATGTGTCTCGTTGCTTCCCATCTGGTCTACCATCTGTGACCACCTGCCCCCTCCTCTGTGGTCCCCCATTCCCAGCAATCAACGTACTGCTCAATCCTTGCTCTTTGTTCCTCTCCTCTGCCTTGACCTGGGTCACCCCTCAGGTGCCCAGGCAAGGTGGGAACAGGGGTCCCAGGTCCCAGACTGTGGCAGAATCAGACTCCAAGCCTCTCTCCCCTGGCAGATATGCCAGAGGAAGCCGTAGGCCTGGATAGGGTCTGCCGCTCTGGGAGCTGACCGGATGGTGCACAGGAGCTCCTGTGTGTCCCAGGAGAGTAAGAAAGAGGCAGGGAGAACTGGGGCTTCAGGAGAGCCATCCAGCCAGAGCTGGGGCAGCGTCAGCCCCAGGGAACAAGAGAGGGGGAAGGCAGAGAGGCACAGACGTGGAGACTGAACAGGGGAAAACAAAGATCCAGGAAAAAAGCCAGCAATGGAGAAACTGGGAAAGGAGGAGAGAGCCGCACAGGAGATCAGGAGAAGGCCACAGAGAGGGGCAGAGCAGTAGGGCCCCCATGGGCAGGGGCAGGGGCAGGGGCGGGAAAGAAAGAGAGAGACAAAGAACAAGAGAAGGGAAACAAAGGGGTAGTGGGAGTCAATTCCCCCTCACCCCAGCCTCCCTGAACTTTAGGGTTGCCGTGGTGACTGCCTCCAAGGGTCAGGGCTGAGGGGACAGGATGGGGCCAGGGCTAAAGGGCCAGCCTGAGACCTTCCCTCCTGTTCTAGGGGAGCTGTCGTCAGGAGCTCTGTCCTGATAGGAGCCTGCAGGCTGGGCGGGGCCTCCTCAGTGTCCTGCTACTCTCACCTAGGACAGGCTGTGGGGAGGACAAGAGGAAAAGCCCCTTCTTTTCCATCCCTCCCTGCTGCTTACTTCTCCCAGCACAGAGAAGGATAAAAGATCTAGGAACTCCAGCCCTTCACTTGCTCCTGGAGGGAAACTGAAGCTTCAAGAGGCACAGAACCTTGTCCATGACCTCTAAAAGTTCACATGCCTGGGTTCCCAGGGCCACCTGAGGAGTGGGGCAGGGGAGGCACCTGTCCGGGAAGGACCCAGAGTGGGGAGGGGGCTGAACCACACCCTCCATCCCACATGCCTCTCATTCCCCTCCAGGCCCAGACTCTCTGGGGTGACAGGAGTGCCAGACTCTTCTCTTCTATTCCTCCCTTATGTGTCTGGAGTGGGGTACCCTGGCCCATCCATCTGCGGGATGCTCCTAAGAAGGGGCCCTCATGGGGGTGCCAGTGGTTCCCAAGCTTGGGGAAGGGACTCAGCAACCTGGGGCTGGCCCCCTCCTTGCCACTCCCCATAGCTGATGGAGAAGACAGAATGCCGCCCCCACTCAACTCTCCTCCCCCAGCCCTCTGTCCAGGGAGTCTGCAGGCTGAGCGCTTGGCCAAGCAGCAGGAATGCCCAGCCTGGGTCCTGGCCAGGCTCCCACGCCCCAGGACTCTGTTCTTTCCCCACCAGAGCAGGGGGCTCTACCCTCAAAGGCCACCAGTCCTCTTGCTCATCCTGGTCCCACACCCCATTCCCTGAGCCCAGACTGGTCACAGCCAGCAAAGAAGGCCCAGCATCGCTAAAACAGCTCGTGGGGTGGCAAGGGGGCCCAGGAGGCCTCAGCCTGCCCCTGGCTTCACTGTAGCCCCTCCCCCAAGCTGGACCCCGAACAGTGGCCTCTGACAGTGGGGTCTGTTTGGACAGAAACAATAAGCTCTGGCTTCACTTCCTGCTGGAGCTCTGAAGGGGTAGCCAGGCCAGGCTCTTTCTGCCTGGAGGGAAAAGAATGCACTAGACAAAGTCCCCCTCAGCCAGTCTGGGGCTCAGCCGGGAGCCAGAAGAGGCCCGACTGCAGGGTCCTGACCCCTTGGCGGCAACCCTGTGCCCCAGCGCCCTCTGCTCTGTCAGAAGGCTGTTATGAGATCACAGGAATACCCTGCCGGGCATGAAGGGGTGCTGAGGGGGCGGCTCACCTCCCCCTCCCACACCCACACACCACAGCCCTCTCTACCCCTCCCCCAGCTCTCCTGGCCCCCCAGTTCTCCACGCGCCTTTTTTCACAATCTTGGCAGCCGTAGCTAGGGCAGCCTCGCAACACTTCCCCTGCCACGTCACACGGTGGTAGGCAGGGGGCAGCCAACCAAAGCAGCCCAGCCCAGCCCAGCCTGGGGCGGCAGGCGGGGCCCCAGGATTCCTAGGGCTCCTTCCCAAGCTGCTCTGGCCCTTCAACCTCTGTGCCAGGCACTGGGCAGAGAGGCAGGTCAGCGGTTCCTCCTTGGACAGCTGCCCAGGACCTCCCCCAGGGGTCACCCCCATCCGATGCCACCTGGGCCCTTCCTTACCTGACACCAGCACGCTCATGATGGCCTCCAGAGGACGGTTGTTGTCCAGTGCCCGGCTCAGCCTCAGCTCGCCTGTGGAGGCATTGAGCAGGACCAGGCTGAGTTCATTCCCCCGCTCAAAGCTGTAGGTCAGGCTGTCTGAAATGTCAGGGTCATGGGCAGGCACGCGGCCAATGGCACCCCCAGGGAAACTGCTTGAGCGGTTGGTGACATAGTTGTTGAAAAGGATCTCAAAGTTGCCCAGCACGGGTGGGTTGTCATTGCGGTCAAGCAGGCGGACGTGGACTGTGGCCCGGCTCACCAGGGGAGCTGACGTGGCCTGGATGACCAGGATGTATTCGGGCCGGTCCTCATAGTCCAAGTCCACCAAGGCAGTCAACTCCCCAGAGAAGATGTCCAGCTGGAAGACCTCAGGGATGTTGCCCTCCACGATCTGGTACATGATCTGGGCATTGGTGCCTTCGTCGGGGTCAGTGGCTGTGACGCGGGCCACAGCCAGGCCAATGGGGCTGTTCTCTTCCACAAACACGTCAAACTCATCCTGCTCGAAGACAGGTGGATTGTCATTCACATCCAACACGGTGACCGTCACTTCCATGGGTGTGCGGGCTGGAGGCATCCCCTTGTCTACCGCATATGCCCGCAAAACGTACTGGGCCACGTTCTCACGGTCTAGTCTCCGAAGCGTTCTCACGATGCCTGACGTGGACTCTACGATGAAGTCACCATCTCCATCATCGCCCCCTTGGAAGGTGTAGAATACCCTGCCATTAAGGCCAGAGTCACGGTCAGTGGCTGAGATCTGCAGGACACTGGTGAAGGGGGGCACATCCTCATAGACGCTGCCCTGGTAGGAGTCACGCAGGAACTGTGGGGCGTTGTCATTCACATCATTCACCAGGATCTCCAGGTAGGTGGTGTCAGACTTCTGGGGAATGCCATTGTCACGGGCGGTGATGGCCAGGGTATAGGACACTTGGTCCTCATAGTCTAACTCAGCCTGGGTGGTGACAGCCCCTGTGTCGGCATCAATGCGGAACTGGGGGATGCTGTCTTCCATAAAGTAGGTGATACGGGCATTCTCACCTGTGTCCTCATCCGTGGCGCTGATGAGCACCACCGTGGTGCCAGCGGGCCGGTCCTCATTGACGTTCACCGTATAGTGGGAGCTCTGAAAGACCGGACGATGGGTGTTGGCATCTGTGACATTCACGACCACCTGTGCCGTGTCCTGCCGCGTGCCGTCAGACGCCGTGACCGCTAGCACATACTGCCGCTCAAGTTTGTAGTCCAACGGCAGGGCAAGTGACACCAGACCACCACCACTCTGGCTGGTGATGGAAAAGCGGTTGCGGGTATTGCCGCTGGTGATCTGGTAGGTGATGACACTGTGGGCATCACGGTCCACAGCCGACACCGTCACCACGCTGGTGCCCACGGCCGCATCCTCATTGAGTCTCACAGTGTACTCTGGTTGGGTGAAGGTGGGGTTGTTGTCGTTGACGTCTAGGATGGTCACGCTGACACTGGCTGAAGCAGTGAGCATTGGGGTGCCATGGTCCCGGGCTTCTACCCCAAAGCTATAGAAATCCACCTCTTCCCGGTCCAGCTCAGCTGCCACAGAGATCCAGCCTGTGCCATTGTTGATGGCGAAGGGGAAGTCCTGTCCAACCCCAGCAAGGCGGTATTCCAGGTGGGCATTGTCCCCTGCGTCAGCGTCGATGGCTTGGACATGGAGAACCAGGTAGCCTAAGGGAACACTTTCCAGCACAGTAGCCTGGAAGGGAGTGCTGACAAAGATAGGGGCATTGTCATTGATATCCAGGACTTGCACTGTCACTAGGCCAGAGACGTTGGAGAGCGGGGGGCGGCCGCCATCCTGTGCCCGAACCCGGAGGGTGTACTCTTTGGTCGTCTCATAGTCAAGAGGGCTCACCACATCCAGAGCCCCAGTCTGGGCATCCAGATAGAACTGTCCCCGAGCATTGCCACTCATGATGCTATAGTGCACCAGAGCGTTACTGCCCTTGTCTCTATCCGAGGCTGTGACGCGGAGTACTGGGGCCCCCGGGGTCACATCCTCGCGCACCTGGACCACATAGCGCTTCTCACTGAACTGAGGGGCATTGTCATTGTCATCCTCCACAGACAGGAACACAGCAGCCGTGGCGCTCCGTGGTCCCGGGTCCCGACCCTGGTCGCTTGCCTCCACTGTCAGCTGATAGGATTCTACCTCTTCCCTATCCACGGGGCCACGGGTTCGGATCACCCCAGAGCGAGGGTCAATCTCAAAGAGTTCTGAGGGGCTGCCGCCAGGCCCCTCCAACAAGCGGTACAGAATATTGGCATTGGGAGGGGCGTCGCCGTCTGTAGCTCTGACAGTGAGCACCTCATAGCCAACCTCCAGGTTCTCTCTGAGGCTCTCCTTGTATTCCTGCTGCTCGAAAACAGGGTCGTGATCATTGGTGTCCGTCACCAAAATGGTGAGTGTGGCCAGGGCACTGCGTCGGGGCATGCCGTGATCCTGCGCCGTGACCCTGAAGACGTGGGTGCTCTTGGTCTCCCGATCCAGCTCTTCCGCTGTGGTTACAGCGCCGGTGATTGGGTCCAGAGAGAAGAAATGTTTGGAGCGGCTATCAAAGAGGGCATCCATGGTGTACTCAAGCCGGCCTGCCTCACCCTCATCTGGGTCAATGGCCCGCAGGGATGCCACCGGGGTTCCAGATGGCTGGTTCTCAGGCACTGTGGCCTGGTAGCTGGGGGGCTGGAACTGGGGGGCTGTATTCACATTCCTTTTCCAACGCCCGCCCATGGACTCTTCTGTTGACCTTTCCCCTGCCCTGAACCCTGGGGTCTGCACCAGCTTGCAGGACTGGCATCTCAGCCGTGGAGCCTTTAAGCACGGGTGTTCCTGGGGCAGGGTGAGCTTGCCCTGTGGGGAGAGGTGGCCTCCAATGCCCAAGAGGCGACAGCTCCATGGGCAGCCTTCAGGCGCTGGCGGCAGAGGGATGTGAGCTCCGGATTCTGGACACCAGACCCTGAGACCGTCGTGGTGGGGTACCAGGTGGCCAGTCAGCTCTGTCCCTGCATCCCTGCAGCGGCTGGTGTAGAGCCAGAGGTTGGATGCTGAGGCTGGACAGAGCCAGCCCACGGGGGCACAGGCCCCTGAGGAGCCACGTCCCCCAGGCCCCAGGGAACGACAGGGCCCCACTTGGTCTCCCAGCAGTGGCGGCAGCAGCAGCAGCAGTAGCAGCAACAGCGGCAGCAGCAGCGGCGGCGGCGGCGGCAGTGGCGTTGGAAGGGGGGCGCGGGCTGCCCGGCTCTGCATCTCTCCCTGCTCCCGGCCGGCCGGGTCAGCGGCGGCGGCGGCTCCTCCTCCGGCTCCAGCCGGCCCCGCCGCGCCTCATGCCCGGGCCGGGGCGCCGGTCCCCGGGGGCCACTCGAGCGCCCCTCGGGGCCTGCGCCTCGCTGCCTCGGCGGGGCCCGGCGCTGAGCCCTCCGACGCAACCGGGCTCTCACCGCTCCCGGCCCGCCCGGGTCACCCCGACCACCGCGGGCTGGCGCTGCGCCTCCACTTGCGCGCCCGGCTCTCGCCACCTGCGCCCGCGGGCCCCGCGCGCCCCTGGCCCTGCCGACTCCCCGAGCCCCGAGGTGCCCCCTTCGCCCCACGGGATGGCCCACCTGCGTCCGCGTAGCTACGCACCCGGACCCCGGCCCTCCTCGACGGCCCTGCGCCGCCCGCTCGCGCCCCGCGTCCCCGCCGCGACTGCTGCTGTCGCCGCGGCCAAGGGCCCAGCCCCACGATCCCTCGCCTCCCCGGCGGGCGGGCGAGCTCTGCAGAGCGGCGGCGGCAGCCGCGGTGGCGGCGGCTCATTACCATAGACCTGCTCGCGCGGCCGCCGCCTTAAAGCGGCGACGCCAGCCGCACCGAAGGAGGTGGGCCCCACCCAGCGCCCTCCTCCGCACCGACGTTCTAGGATTCCTGCTGGCCAGACCTCCATTCCCAATCCCTCCCCAGGCCTGCCACTGGGCGGGTGACAGATCCCTACCACAGGTTCGAGAGGAATTAACAGTCAAAAGACAGACAACAAATGAGAATAATGGTGATAGTATCTTAAGTATGCTTAGAGGTTTTCAAAAACATTTGGAAGGGCTCTCAGAAACCAAGGGCCCACCTCACACAGCCTGCACCTAGGATGGTTGGCAGCTGATAAAAGCCCTTGAGGTCAGGATAAGACTGAGCTAAAAGAGCCCTGTTCAACAGTATAAAGCCTCCCCCATATTCCAGAAAGATACCCCATCTCCCTGGCAACACCCAGTGAAGTCCTAAGGCTCCCATCCCCACACCTATTCCAGGTTGTGATCTAACTAGGATGCCCCTTGGAGTCCAGCTGCTGGGCAGAATGACCCCAGTCTCAACTGGGACAGCACTTGGACTTTTCAGGAGGAGCTAAGTTGGGAGTGTTGAAGCCAGAGCTAGCTGGTATAAACTAAAATACTAATATTACTGGGCTCTGAAACCCAGAAATGCTGAAACCTGTACAGGGTCACAAGGTGGTTGAGGGATGAAGCCAAGCTTTAGGCCTCAGGTTTCCTGGATCCAGACTGATGGATTTCACCAGGCTGGTGCCTGGAGAGATGACCTCTTGCCCCCTCCCTCCTTCCCCATCAGTGTCGAGCTACTGTTCCCCTCTTTCCACTCACAGCTTTGTGATTACCAACCAGTTCTGCCCAGTGCCCAGTGTAGGTCTGCAGCCTGAACCTTCCACTTGAAAGGGGTGTGTGGGATTCCAGGAGTCCTGGGAGTGGCCCAGGCATGAAAACTGGAACATGAAGAGCCAGGCAGTGCTGGTGGACAGTGATCCCGAAGGAACTGCCCTCTTTCATACCCCACCCTGGGACCCGTATCCAGGAACAGTAGGGCCACCTGGGTGTGGTGCCAGGGGTCTGGTCAGGCAGTATGAGGCCTGGCCTGGGGAGGGGGCTGGGGGTTTAGTCTCAGCCCCCACCCCATCCTCTGGCTGTGTGATCTTGGGCAGAGGCCCGTACCTCAGTTTCCCTTTAGTAAAATGAGGGAATTGAATAAGGGTGCATGGTTTCCAAAAGTTAATTTAGCAGGAGAATCTGTTTTTCCGATGAAATTTGAAGTGGAAGTCCAAACTAAAACACAGATAACAGTGGTGTTTCTGGGATGAAGTGCAGGTCAAGACCTTGCCCTGTCCCCACAGCTCTACCCACCAGTACATCCCTGGGTCACCTAATGGGGCTTATGCTCTGGAAGAACCCAGTTTGAAAAGCCCTGAAGCAGATGCTCCCTTCCAACAGTGCGCTGTGGTTGCATTGGAGGAGGCATGAATCCCATCTCCGGGACCCCGGCCCCAGGCTCACAGTGTGACTGCGCAGTGAGGCCTAGGAAAAGATGCCGGCTTTTCACTTTTTCCCCAGGAGAAAGGAAAGGAGATGGGCCTTGGGGACAGCTAGAGGGATTAAGGTTAGACTGCATTTCTGGCAATGGCGGTGGAAAGGGTGGGGAGAAGGAAGTGGGAGGAGGACCCATGCCTTATGGGAATGCTCTTGTCTTGATTGAAGATGAGCTTTCTTCCTCTGGGCAAGGCCAAAGGCAGCTCCGGGAGCAGTGCGATGGCTTACGCAGTCTCTGCAGGGCTTGCCTCTCTGGACTTGCTTTGACTCTGGTTTGGGAGGATCTAGGGGCTGCGTGGGCATTTTGCTCTTCACCTAATAGCCATGTGGTGCGGAGAATGCTTGGAAATTATACCATCTGTTAATTATCCTTTGAATGAGGGTTGGGTAATGAGACTCTCATTTCTGCTGAAGGCCAAAGCCAGCACATGGGGAAACTGCAGGCTCTCCATTCATCTCTCTCCCTTTATACCAAAATAAGCTTTCTGGTTGGGAGAGAGAGGCAGCCTTGGCTCTGGATCATGTGTGGATCATGGTCCTGGAGCCTAGCACTGAGGCAGGGGCTGCCGTGGAAGGCACAGGAACAGGAAGCCCTCCTCTGGGTCAGTGGTGTTTCTCCCCAAGGGCAGACAAGTTAGGGTATGCGAGGAACCCCTTCTTTCATCTCCAAACACATTTGGCAAATGGTCCTTCCTCTTCTCCCCGCCCTGACCTTAGGGGCACAGGACAGAGCTGCTTGTCCATGCCCCTGTCCCTTCCTCAGCTGCTTCCACCTCCCAAAAGCTAGAAGGAAACTTCCAGATCTTCTGTGCATCAGAATGTCTCAGTCTAGGGCTTGTCCTAGTGGTGTCCTACTTGACACCTAGAGGAAGGGCCACGTACCTCATGGAACTCTCCAACTATAAGGCATCTTCAGACCTCCCTCCTACATGGGAGAAAATCAGGGTGCACCAAGATCCTGGAGTCTGTTCAAAGGGAATTTACTGCTCTTCTAGGCCAAACCTCCTGTTTTATGTCCTTTGAGGGTGGGAAGGGAAAGTGACCTGCTGGGATAGCCCCAGGCTCCCCACCCCCAACTGGGTCTTCCTCACCCAGGCTGCTTTCTGAGGGCTCCCCAGGGAGATGGAGAATACATTTTTTTTTTTTTTGAAGATTTTATTTTTATTCATTTGACAGACAGACATCACAAGTAGGCAGAGAGGCAGGCAGATAGAGGAGGAAGCATGCTCCCCACAGAGCAGAGAGCCTGATTCGGGGCTCGATCCCAGGACCCTGGGACCATGACCTGAGCTGAAGGCAGAGGTTTTAACCCACTGAGCTCCCCAGCCACCCCAATGGAGAATACATTTTCGCATAAGGCCTGGCCCTGGCTCTCAGCTGAACAGGGTAGCACAGGTGAAGTGCTCCAGGAGCAACTGAGACAGAAAAGGCTAAAGGATTCAGAGGAGAGGACAGTGAGAGTGGAGGAAATCCTCCAGGTCTTCCTGGAGAAGGTGGGTTGCATCAGAAACAGCACTCCTGGCAAGAGGAATTCATAAGCAAACTCATTTGGGTAAGGGTCTTCTCCAAGGTGACACAGCTCGGGAATGGCAGCTCTGGGATATGAACCCAGGCAGTCTGGCTCTGGAGTCCATGTTCTTAATGAATGAATGAGATGTGTCGCTTTGGCTGAAGCCAAGATCGGGGTGAGTGTGTTGTGGCCCAGCACAGCGGAGAGGCAGATAAGGCCACATTTGGGAAGAATCAGGTGACCCCTGTCATGGGCCTGTGGGCTAAATTCTAGGACAAATGACCTGCTTGAACGGAGGGGTGTGGATGGAGACAGTGGAAGGGAAGGGTCCCCGTGACCTTTGCTGGGCAGGCAGGGCGCTTTCTCTGGCAAGGGAGATCCTGATTTCCCTGGGGCCTGATCCTGTTTCTGGGCTCAGTGTTGCTTTATTAAGGGCACAGAAATGGTGGGGAGAGGCTGTCCCTGTGGAGCTTCAGACACTGCAGCTCTAGGACTGTGGTGTGGGGTAGGATGGAAAGGACCAGGAGCCAGAAGTTGGAGCAGGCCAAGACCTGAATGTTTCCTGTCCACGCTTGCCTCGTGTGTCCAGTCCGCTTCCCTGCACTCTTCTCTACAGCTGAGGGTGTTGCTCCTAGAGGGAGGACACTGTTCTTGCTGGGCCCCCGACTCCGTGCCTGGCACTGAGGGCACCTGGTCAGAGTTGTGAGGATACTTGAATTCTTCATGTGGTTGCTTTCCCTCCAAACCAGCCTCCACACAGCAGCCCAAGTCATTGTTTTGAAATCAATGAACATTTTTTAGATTAAAAAAAATTCTCTCCCAATTTTTTATTTTGGAAAATGGCAAGTGTTCAGAAAAATTACCAGAATGGTACAACGCATCCCTAGATACCGGCCACCTAGATTCACTAATTGTTAACACTATGTTTTTTTTTTCTCACAATTTTTAGAGAACGAAGGGAAAGTGAGGAGCAAACATCATGGCGCCTCAAGCCCCTGTCCCTCAGCGAGCAGCTCCTGCATGTCAGAGTCCTCCCACACCCTCGCAGGGTGGCCGCCACACCTGGAACACAAGTGAGGAGTCCTGGTATCACCTAATATCCAGTCTCATCCAAATTCCTTGCTGTCCCTCAGGGGTCTTTGATAGCTGCTACTTTCAAACCAGAGGTTTATGCATTACATTTGGTTGTGTCATTTTACTTTCCCTCCCTCTGTCCTTCCTTCCCTCCTTCCCTCCCTTTTTCCCTACCTTCCTTCTTGCCTTCTTTCCCTCTTTCCTTGTGACAGTGACCGTTTGAAGAGTCCAGGCCAGTTTTCTTCCCCACCCCCTCCTCCTCCTTCTTCTTCTTTTTGATTTTATTTGTTTATTTAAGAGAGAAAGAAATCATGTGACCAAGCAAGGGGGGTAGGGGCAGAGGGAGAGGGAGAAGCAGACACCCTCTGAGCAAGGAGCCCAACACTGGGCTTGATCTTAGGACTCTGGGATCACGACCCTAAGCCAAAACAAAAGCAGACACTTAACCGACTGAGCCACCCAGG